AAAAATTAATTAAAATAAATATTAAATGTATAAAAATATTTTATATATTTTTAATTTGTCAATAATTAAGTAATTCAAAAGTATATTTTATCTTTTAATTTTTATGTTTTTTATTATTTTAAAAATATATAAAATATTAATTAAAATAAATATTAAATGTATAAAAATATTTTATATATTTTTAAAATATTAAAAAACATAAAAAAATCTACAATTACAATTTACAAGTATATATCAATTAGCATTATCAAATTAAACCTTATCTATTAAACTTGTGTGGAAGTAGCCATTAAACTTGTGTGGAAGAAACAGAAATCCACCCTTGTTGGTAGCTTGAATTGAGACCCACACTTGAACTAAAACCTCCGCACGAATTTTCCAATTAACTTCACAGAATCACAGTTAACTTGTGGAAAATCAAAAGAAAGTTGTGGAAAATTAGTTCCATATGTAACGGATGACTTCATCTTTTTGTTAAAATTAGTTCCCATATGTAACGAGTGACTTCATCTTTTTTTTTTTTTTGAACATAGTGACTTCATCTTTTTGTTTATACAGGCATGTCATCCTTCTATCTTACTTGGCTAATGTGGACAATTGTTTGATTTGATATGTTAACCCTAAACATTAACTAATAAGAAGATGACATCACTCGTCCTCAGAAGTCGTGCCCCGTGAAGTTAAAGGCTTACCTATCGCAGGTTCTTTTTATCATCGGCGAAGTGTTTTTTTTTTAATATATTTAAATGAATTATATAAAAAATAATATATTTTTTAATTTTTTTACTTAATTTAAAATTTAAATTTAACACTGTTAATTTAAAATATTAAGTTTTTAACTATTAAATTACAACCTCTTTAAAAATATCATAGGCGAAGTTCTAAATTTACTTATTAAATTTTTATATAAAAATTATGTTAAAAAATCAAAAATAAACTAAAATTCTTAAAAATAAATTAAGAAAATAATAAAATAAAATTGTTAATGAACTATTTTTTATAACTCTTTTCACTTATACATTCATTCATTCATCTTATGAATTATAGAAAGCAAAATATTAAATTGTCAATTAAAAAAATATTACTTAAGAATATTTTAATATAAGATAAGATTGTATTATACATATACATTGCCCAATTTCAATTAAAATTTTTTATTGGTATTTTAATTTTGTTTATTGTTTTTAGATATGGGGGGCTCTTAGGAGTAAGTTTTTGTGTATCTTAATATTGATTTCTTTACATAATTTTAAAAATATACCTTTTACATTGATGTAGTATCTTTAAAAAATTTAATTTTTTAAATATTAAGATTAAGATTTAAATTTTAAACTTAATTTATTTAACAATACTTCTGTCCATTGGTATTTGCTTTTTTTCTCTCAATGAGATCTCAGACAAATTTTGGCCAAAACTGAAAATTCCCGAAAAGAAAATTTTGCTAGAAATAATCGGCAAGATTTACTAGCAGCCACCAGTAATTCGGTAGCAGTAGTACTAATATTAAAACAACATTTATTAAGAAAAAAAAAGAAAAAAGAAAAAGAAAAACGAAGAAATTAAACCTGGATTTGCTATTTTTGCGTTTCATCGGAGTAGGGTTCCTTGTTTTGGACGATTCTTGTCCGTTGATCCGTTGGAAAATCTTTGAGCCTTTTCATGCATTTTAATTTATTTTGCTTCTACCCGTTTTACGATTTAATCCCCTGCACTGGTTTTTTTACCGTTTTGTTTCAAGAAATATAAAATGACGGAAATACCAAACTACTAATACTACTTTTTTTCTTTTTTCTTTTTTTACGTGAAATCGTCAAATTCTGGATAATAAAATGAATTACATGTCATTTATTAAAAATAAAAATATTCTTTTAAGTAGGGGTGTTTACGGTGTGATTTGGTTCAGATTTTAATAGTTTTTAAACTAAATTTAATTTAATCGGTTAATAAAATTTTTAAATCAATTCAATTCATTATTATATAATAACCAAACTAATCTAATTTAAATTGGATCGGTGTGGTTCGGTCGGATTGATTGGTTTTTATCATTATTAAATACATGAGATAATGTAAAAATATTTTAACATCAAATAAAAAATATAACTATAAAACACATTAACATTCAAATTAGTAAAAACATGGTAAAAGGTATAAATTATAAATAAGTTTTTATACTCCTTTACATTTGTAAAAATTGAAAAATTCTGAAAATTCTTCTTGGTTACATCACTAGAGGCACAAAAAAGAATAAAAGATGACTTGAAATTTCTAATACAGTGTAAATAATTTTTAAATGTTAAAATTAGTTTTTTTTTCTTAATACACTAATAATTTAATCACATCTTTTAAATTCTGTTAAAAATAAATAAAATT